CACTTCCATCGTGAATACTGAATTCTTCTTCTGAATAAAATATATTTGTCTCTCACTACTCTTCCACTAGTTTAAAACTTGAATGCAACACTTGTCCATTCCTTTCTGCTTCTCGATAATAAGTCACCTAACCTCAATCTATATATCAGCTTTCACCAAACAGTAAGTGAATGGATCATTGAAATATACATTTTACTGAAAACTTTTCATCTGAGATTTGTTCCTTCTGAACAGAAAGAAAGGCAGTAGTGAACAGGTGGGAATGAGCTAATCTAGGAATATAGGAATACAGGTTATCATGGCAAAGAAGAGCTTATGGAAAGCATCAACTGACCAAAGTGTTTCAATATGCAAAGAGAAGTCTCACTTCATATATCATAAATAACAATGAACTGTCTCAGTGTTGTCAACTTCTAGATATTTTCATCACATAACGAACCATACTCTTGAGTTCACTCACTCACTCACTCACTCAATCGTACACATGCTAATTCAGTGAGACGAGTCTAGAAAACCACGTGAACAGAAGCTGGGAATGAAGTAACTGGCAAAATGAAATGGTTTTTACAGTCGCCTGAACAAATAAATGTGCATAAAATTTAACAAAACATTTTCATTGATAACCTCTGAATAATTTGAGGAATTGTTTTACAAAACAGGATGCATAACTGCACCACACGAAAATTTTTTGATATTCGAATTCCAATAAATGCGCTTCCATATAATGAACATTCAAAATGACTAGATTGTTTCAGTCATAAGATTGGCCATTACAACATACTACAGTTTGATGTAAGATCAAAACTCCAGCACTCTGGTGCAGCATAATTCCATATCAGATTGACAATGATGCAGTATTATCTAAGGGATGGCATCTCGAGCAGAATTTATTCCTCATATTCATATCAAAGTTATCACATGACTATCAAACTGCCGTCATATAATCCAACAGCTCTTCATTCGTCTACTTTTATGGTAGTAAGATTTTCCAGATACCTGCAATGTGTGATGATTCATTCATTACTGTTGCATATGTTAGGTGTTGGTTGAATCAATGAACGAGGGTTCTGTGATCAATCTCTCCCTGAATCTGGCTATTTTGGATTTTGAGCATCCTTGCACTGGTTTATCTTCTGCTTCACCATCCTCCTCTCCCTGCTCTATCAGCTTCCATGTGTCCATCGAGATCCATTCTTTGTCTTCTTTCTTCTTCCTTCCTAATACGGCATGATGTATACAATAAGATCTATAAATAAATAAATAAATATGGTTTCTAACGCCTGATGCTGACTAGTAATATGAATCTTTAAAGTGAATATACCATATGTTAATTCCTTTCTTATCTGTTTTCTTTTACCCCTTGAGATTTTCCCTTCCTCCCCCTCCCCTGTTTATCTTCAGTTTTATACTACTTAGTATTTTCGAGTAGTATAATTCATTTTCGTTATGATGTCGCTTCATCCACAGTCTTGACTGTTCAGTCTGTTCCATCGTATCTTGTCCACCATCTAACATACATCAGTATCTTTCATATTTGATGATGCTCCTGTGATCTCTTCCCTTCTTTCTTGATGTTCTGTTTTACCCTGACCATTTGTTTATGTTGCGTCTTCACCTCATCAGGAGAAATAAAGCGCGTTCTGCTGTTTTTATTGTTGGTGCACGCTTTGCAAATGCTTTGAAAGCGATAAACCCCCAGATACCTCACGATTGGTGGTTTGCATTTCATTACTCAATATTGTTTATTAATCTAGTAGCGTGTTTCAGACAAATCCTGTGTTTTGAATTTTACGCGTAACTCAAACGTTTCCTTTTCTGTTAAGAAATCGCTTGCTCACTTTGGTTTCGAATTTCTTGGAAAGATATTCAGACCATACTAGAATGTTTTTCTCCCAGTTTCAGTAAATGGATTAGGAAAATCTATGTCATCATTTCTCAGCATCTTTGCGCTTCTCATTCCAGAAGAGTTTATGCCAGCGGATATGTAGGTCTAGCGTCAACTTAAGCGGTTGGATTAGGCAAAGGCAGCAGTCTCAGGAAGGGTTATCCGGAGGAAAATTTTGGGCAGTGAACACCACAATGATATTATAAAGTCATGAACGAATCCAATGATCCAATAAAGAGTTGTAACTTAGCACTGTAGCATTTATCAGTTGTTAATTTAGGGTGAGAATCCAGCGACTGGTAGGAATATGGTAAAACAGTATGGTAGGTTATTTATTATGCGAGATATATCGGAAGTATAGCAGTAGTATATGATAATTGTCAAGTCATAACAAATGCTTAACTGAAACAATTTATCGGCTTTGAATACTGTCATGTAAAAGTCAGGCGAATGAAACATGGCACAGGGGAAATCTGTTCATTGTGAGGATAAACCCAAATTTTCATTCCATCTTCAGTCATCACCCAGTATCAGCAATAGAAGGTATTTGAGATCTCATTAAGTGCACCAGTTGGTAAAAGGGATGCCAGAAACTTCAGTGACAAAGTTAGTTACATTGAAAAGACCATTTTAGCTTTTTTTTTAAAGTCCTTCTGTAACGTTAAATGGTTGAACAGAACAAAAGGAGGTGAGAGAAATCAAAAGGCTAGTTCAGTGAAGTTAAATTTCATTGATTCTAAAGTAGACTATAATTCCGTATCATTTATCAATAGAACGTTACAGAAAAGGGAACAACAAACATACATGTTCGGCCAGTTCGTCAATTTATCGAAGAGTTCTTGGAAGTTGAATGTTAAGAAAAATTGGCGGCTGCAGAGAAGAAAACATCTTCTCGATAAAGTCATATACTGCGCTGTACATTCGTGAATATATGTTATTGTTGGCAGAACAATCCAGATTTTATTTCGGACCAGGTGGCAAAATTTGTTGAATAAGGAAAGGAAGTTAATTCATACAAATTAGGATTTAGAGTGGGAAAAAAATAGGGGATTATGAAAATCGAAATGTAATCATGCAAAAAAGATTCTTTTGCTGAATCTTAAATTGCAAAATGACATTACTGAAGGCATCCTCAAAAGCGACTATCAAGAGTCTTAAATAGGACATACTTCGCCACCAACCTACGAATCATTTTCTCCAGAAAGAAACGTTTTGGTCAATATATGAAAGACGAACTGACACACTGTGTCAGTTTAATTGTTCTTGGGAAGCTGTGTACATCAGCTGTACCATGTGTCCGTTTGCAAAGTGTACTCATAAACAGTGGCCCACCTGGGTGGCAAAGGAAGAGTGGAAATGCATACTCACCCCAATAACAGAACACCTTGCGAACTCTGGCCTCTCAGCTCCTTTTGAGATCTCATTCAAAATCTTCTACAGGGTTCGATTAAATCCCTCGAAGGAAGTAAGGTCAAAGGATTTGAGTATAGATGAATCATTACCCATTCAGAAGTTCAAACCAGCTTGACTGCCATAGATTTACCCTGTATTTAGTAATTACAGATTTTGTTTCCATAATTCCTTGTTTATTTTCTCACTCTAAACCCTGATTTGTATGAATTAACTTCCTTTCTTCATTGAGCTCATCTCAGCCTATGACCGGAAATAATTCTGAAATGTTCTGTCCACTGTAACATATATTCACAAATGTACACCATAGTGAATGACTTCGTCCTGAAGAAAATTTTCTCTTCTCTGCAACCGTCTTTTGTCTTTTCCCACGATCAAATGAGTGTATTCCACTGCTTGAATGTAATCTAATGGGCAATTGTGCAAAGACAGTTTCTCTTGATATTATAGCCTTATTCGCTTTAATAGGATGATCGATTCGCAAATGATTTACAAATTACACGGTCCACGTGGACGCTTCTCACTGCTGAGTCAACAAAGTTTCCGTTGGAAACCACCCATCAGCTAAGAATATAGTGTATCATCTCTGAAATGAAAGCGTCATGAACTAGGGAAAGGTGCTATCACTGACCAACTCGAGTGGTTTCTAACTACTGAAGTTGTTCAATAGTAGTATACTTTGTTCACTTTCTTCGTGCTGAAGCTAGTGAACGTTATCATGTTTTATGTACTCATCGATGATATCTTGCTATAACAACATAGAAAGCTTGAAAAAGCAGGTATTTACAGGCAGAAAAATATCTTGAAAGACAGCACTAAGTTCCTGGAATATTTCAAGGTTAGTGTCATTTACAATCAATCATATTCATTTCACTATAGGCTGTTTAACCTGAAAGATCAAGATTAATTGGGAACAATCATTAACATAGATCATATCAAATAATAACAGAAAAACAGTGGAAAAAGTAGGTGCACTTACCACTTTTGTTTCCATGACCACACATCACTCGTTAAACAGGGTATGTTCTCAGTTTAACGGATTCATATGAATAGCTAAGGATATGTATTTGACTAGAAGTATGTAGAAGTATTCGATCTAGGGCAGCTTTTTAGAGACTAAACTATTTCCAAAATTTCGGCATTCATTTCATGATGGGTAATGAAACATATATCTAGACGCAATCTATCTGTAAGTAATCGAAAAGTCACAAAGTCAAGGGTCCAGCTATTAGTTTACCAAAATAATCAGTGAATATGGAGGGATTCACAATGACAGCAGAGCTTCTAGGAGAAAATCAAAGCAGTCCGACTGACCACTAGTGGAAAAGATCGTGAAAGTTTGCTTCTTTTCGAAATTGATGTTGAACTTAGACGAATCATCTGTTCTAAAGACGAGAGATAAATCAAAGCACGATGAAAGATAAAACGAAAGACGGTTCGACGCTAAGCAATCAATTACGGACCATAAATTGCATTCATAACTTCAGTATGCTCCAAGTTGGTATTTTAACTACATATCAGTTGATAACTAAGTACTGCTAGACAAGGTAATACAAAGTTGAAGAGTCAATAAAAATGAAGTTAGTATGACCTTAAAATTCTAGCTGGAAGTTATAAAGAAGGAAAATAAATAATCAGTAGATAACTCGTATATTAACGTAATGAGAACAAACTTAAAATGCAGATAATTTTACCAATATTAAAGTTATATATAAGAAAAATAACAACAATCACTTTTCAGTATCCAGGTTAAATAAGATATATAAGAAGAACAAAGTTTGAGTATTTGTAACTTTGATAAACGTCGTCCAGTTGGGTTAGTTGGCAGTAAACTGTGTAGTTTTTTAAAGGCTTTATTGAATTCTGCTACGCGTTGACGTTCACGTGCTGCATGTGCATGACGATATTGTAAGGAAGCACGTTTCCGGCGCTGATGTTCACGATAACGTTCTTTTTTGCATTTGATTAATTTTTCTTCTGATAATACACTGCTGGATAGATTTTTATCATCAATAGATGTTGACTTTTGTTCTTCTGTTCTCATCATGATGTTCTTTGTCGACATTATCATACTTTTATTCGAACTACTCATTAATAAAGATGAATAAACTTCATTACACGTAGGATGGATATTGCCATTTGATTTAGGCTGATAGTAATTCATAATGATAACGGAGGTGTAGAAGTATGATCAGAACTTTGAAGTGATGAGTTAGCTAATATATATATATATATATATATATATATATATATATATATATATATATATATCGTCCAAACACTTGTTAATCAAGATCGTCAATTGGTCGAATTGGAATTGGGAATTCGAAGGAATTGTGCATATTGAATATAGGTGAGACTAAAAAGCCAATTAGTATTGAGAAGATAGAACAATTAAATAAAGTTTATACTCATTTCATTCTCTTCGTTTCTTCATATTATGGTTAATTTAATTAATTATTTGTTGTTATTTTTATTATTTACTGTGGGAATTCCCATACTTTAGATCATTTTAGCCTTAGGCAGAGTAACTTGAAACTCACTAGGAAAACTGTATACAAAGCGAAGTATTTAATATTATAATTTAAGACTTTTATTAACTAAACACTGAAATGAATTATATCCGAACCTCAAACATTCCTTTTTTGTTAATGGTCGGTGGTTGTAGACAATCGACAGGAAATCGAGGACCTAAGTTTTGTACCTGTTACCACATCACAGGGAGGTATATCTGTAACCTTAAGGGAACTGATGTCCGCTCGAAGATCTAAGCCCATACCGGCCAGTGCTGCAATCAGCTACATTACCACTGAGCTTTTCAAAGCTGTACATCCAACTTCTCCCGTGCAACTAGTAATTTAAGAAGGAGGATGAGAATTTCCTGTAATTACGCTGAAGTGTGTCTTCTTATATGCCTAATAGAAGAGGAAGTCAAGACACTAACAATTTCTATACAATTATACCAGGTTGATATGAGTCTGGCTGTGGCTATTAGTATACACTTAACTATGATTAATCACGTTCCAGATGGGCTATCATCGTTCGGTACCTTCTTTTAATTTCGTCAGACTGTGTAAGCAGTAGCTATCAAACTCAGGAACCCTGAGCTTTCTATTGAGAAGTGGTAGGTTCACAGACTTCAACCTCTTCGGTTAACTGATGTAAATGATAAAACACAATTTAAAATTATCATTGTTTTTATTGGACGTTTGTTTGATCTTTGCTCAGAAAAAGTTAAATTATTCGTTATGTATTTATGATCACTTCTTCGTATGTTTCCCTTTTATAGAATAAAACGTAACTTCTGTAGCACTGATCAAGTGCTCTAAATCCAGTCCAACTTTATATCAATTACATTTTCATCTCCCACTAGTTTATTTATGTATGTTATCAAACTCGGCATATGGCATTTCACAGAGCTATAGAATTAGTTAGCTTGCTGCTTACGAATTATAAAATGTCATACCATTTTTTTCTCAAAATACACCAATAATCATGATTATCTGTTACGAAGTTCAGTTTTTATAGTTGTATCCTTTGAATTAAGACGTTCCTGGTTTAAAAAATACACAAGTACTAACTGTCGAAATACTTTTTTTCGGTCATTCTTAATAGCTGAAACATACTCCTATCTGATTGAATGTGACAGTGATTTCTTGATGTATAAAGAAATGACAACTACATATATTTCCTCAAGAAAAAGTAGTTATTCTTCAAAAATTATCATTAGAAGTGAAAAAGTAGGATGGATTGAAGTATAAAATGCATGAAAATGATAGACTGATTTTAATATATTATAACAAAGTTGAGAACTCACAACTCAAACACCTTTATATAAGTTTGCGACTTGCTTGGTAGTGAGCAGTTTGGGAGTCCAGGAAGCGCTTTTCAACCTGTTTAAAACTCGTCACCTGGACATATCTATACTCCAGTGTGCTATGGTGCTCGCACCAAGACTCAAGCCCAGCATCCATTGCTACAAACAACAAAGGGTTAAATGCTAAGCCATTGAGGTATGAGATCCACCTCTTACGCAATGAGTGGTCCTTTTATTTGATTGATACTTGTTAGTACCAACTGTTTTTCTGGATTGAATTGATCTAACTCTGTTGGCATTTGGGCTCCATGTGTATGCCTCAATATTACATGACTATTCATCATGTTGTAACTTTCCGCTGGATAACACTTTGCTACTTGAAGTAATGGGTAATGAGTCTGAATCTTTGTGGAAACAACATGACTAATTGAGGTGCATGCATATCCAGCTGAAGAGCACCGAATAGGATAAAATGCACGTCTTAGATGGTAAATCTTTAATGTTCTGTGAGCTTTGAAGCGATTTTCTCAACATTCAATTCATAAAGAAGTACAGTGTTTTAAAATTGCATATTTGCCGACCTGTAGTGGACCGAGAAACCATAAACAATAAAAAGAGAGTCTGTGTTTTCTGGAACCACTAACAATAACAACAAAAAGGCAACAAGAAATCCACAAAAATAGAAATTTAATCAGAAAGTCAATAAGTAATGTAAATATATTCAAATATACAGTCACTTGAACACAGTGTTATTCATTCCAATTTACCAGACTTCGATTCCAACAGAGAGAAGGAGAAGGGCAATAGAGCAAGTCAGAAAAGGATATAAGAGAAGAATTCCACAGGATTACCTAGAAAATAGCTAGCATCCAAAATGACACTGAACAAGTTATAACTTCGAAGAGTATTCGATCTGTGTAGACTACGATTGCATCATCGTATTTCATGACTTCAACCTCAACTACTTACAAGCAGTGCAATGTAAATTATTGTAAAGGAGTAAATGGTAAATAGTTAACCCATTTATAAGATAGGTTGGGTAGATGGAAGTGTGGATATTCGGACAACAGTATAGGGATAAACGTTGGAGATTTATTGGCGATAGTGTAGTAGAGGGATCACTGAAAAGCACTCCGAAGAAAGAAAAGGATTATGTAAGATGTTGAAAAGTCAGTTAACAAAGCACGAATAAGTTGAACACAATGTTAACTTTGAGTCAGAGTCACTGAATTGTAATCACAATTAAGGTAATGATTAGAAATTATGAAGATTGGCAAGATAGGAAGGACTAGAACTAGAAAAATTTGTTAACACGGTAGTTGAAGATTGAGCACTATCCCTACTTTCTTTTAAAACACTTACATCATGCTTTAACCTTATGATCCCAGAAGCCTCAGTAATTTTTAGTAGACATGAATTGTGCTATTCACTGAATTCTCTAAATCCATTTTCCATGCTGAATTCTTGACCAGTGTCTGTCTATTAACTGTTGACAGTGTCTGCTCCTATGAGAAGTGAGTATCAGTTAAACGAGCCACTGTCTGTCTACCAGTTCTGTTAACCCATCTATTTTGATAATGTATGTGTAGACTGGTGAACTTAATTTAAGGTGAAATGGGATGGCTGCCCATCAGTCTTCGTCCACACTAACGAACACTACCTGTCTATCTTAGTCTCTGATGAATTTTGTCACCTATCTGGTTACCACTGAAGTGCATTTGGATGAATATGAGCTTTATTTCAGGTTAAATTAGCGCCATTTCTGTATGCAGGTTTTCTTTGATACTTTCTCATAAAGTATTCTAGACAGTGGTTTGTGTGAAGGCATCTATCGATTGTAGCATACCATTTTTCTACGTTTTTCCGCCCTTTTGTAAAACATTCCTTCTCACCAAACATCACTTGTGGGTTAGTAGACATAAGCTATAAAAGTTGAGATGTACACATTTCATGTATCTTTTCTAGACAAATAAAATTTCGGCATCTCGTGTCACTGCTTCCTGAGATACTTTAATCTAAAAAGTTGAATTTGTAATCAAAATTCATTTTCCATTTCGAACGGAGTATTGGGATGGGCTTTATTCAATGTTTGACAGAAGTAGGAAATTGTGAACGACTGAACTGCATGCAACCCAGTGGCTGAGCTGTTACCGCGTTCGCTGTGAAACGGGAATGTTTTGATTTGGATCTCTGGAGGAGGGTGGTGGGTGCGTTCTGCTGTGCAGCTGCATACTAGGACGAAACAGTTATCCGGTGATCACAGGTTTCTAGATAGTTCTCTGACTGATGTCAATCTATTGTGAATACTACAGTAAAAATATTTGTAGTAGATCATTGGTACGATCCGTGTCATACTAAATGTGTCATCAGCATACCCCACGTAAAGTGTTGTCTCACTGATGAGATGACATCTGGTAGCTTTGTTTTCTCCAAATTGTCAGCAGATATATATTGGCTAGGATTGAGCTCAGTGGTGTCCGTATGGCTAATCCATTAGCTTGATGATATAATTTATTATTTGAGATGTGTAGAACACAAGCGCAGTGGTTGTTTAAGTAGAATTCTTGGTATGTTTATAAGTTCTCAGTACTGGTGAACGGTATCAATTGTTTCTTCCAGTGAAATATTTGTAGATAGTAAGGCATTATCGAAAGAGATTGTTATTTTGTTCGAGATGTTCATTCGGCCTAGCTTCCGTGCAAACGCATGCATTTCCCTTTAAATATAAACAGTAAGTTCCTTAAGAATCAGTTGTAGTGTACTGGCTAACCAGTAAACCAACTTGTAACTAAGAGACTGAATCATAAAGATAATAAGTCTCAAGATGGCACGAGTCGTATGAATTTCCACTTGACTATGTATGCATAAATGGATGGTATGTGCCATTTGGTTTTAGATCATTATATGTTATCCCATGGATTAGCTTTCTTTTCATCATTTTAAGTGATCATTTTGTTTTCAATGCATTTCTGTGATACCTCTACCACACAATCTCTATTAAATTTCAAGCTCATTTCACTGTACTGCAGTCAAAACCACCTCTCATCCATCTACCCAGTTGTCTTATGAATTGGATTACCTGTTAATCAATTTCATAACATGTTATCATTTATTCCTTTACAATATTCTACTCTGCATAGCTTGCACTTAGTTGAGGATGAGGTGATCAAATGTGGTTATGTCATCGTACTCAACAAACATCAGCATTTCACCTCTTCCCGAATTCATTAGGGGAATTAACAGCATGAAATATAAATCCTACATGGAATGCACTAAGGACTGACTTGAATAATTACAGATCACTAAGTCCCATTCACAGTGCATGTAACTCATTTTATTCAGCCATA